GGCTGCCTGGGGGGGGGACACACAGACGCCACCGGGTCCTACAGGCAATGGGGGCCCTGGGCAGCCCGGGAGGGATGTCACTGTCACAGTGCTGGGTTGGGAGGGCGGTCTGTGTCGCCACCTGGTGACATCCCGCGACAGACCCCGTGCGGGGGGTCCCAGGCGCTGCCGGGGCTCGCATGGCCTCCCTTCACCCAGCAGCAAAGCCGTCACCCCCCAGCCCCCGGGAGGGGTGGTCCCCTGCCACCAGGGCTGCTTGCAGCGAGGGGGGGGACCCTGTCCCTGTCCTTGCAGATGCACCCCAGGAGCCATCCTTCATCTCCCTGGTGGAGCCCCACGGGGGGCTGCGGGCCATCCTGCTCTGCACCGTCGACAGCTTCCCACCCTCCGACATCGCCCTGCACCGGGGTCCCGCCAGCGCGCCCCTGGCCTCCACGCGGGGCCCGGCCGACCCACGCTTCACTGTCCAGGCGTCCCCCAACTCCCTGCGGGTGGGGATGGGGGGCCTGGAGCCGCGGGACGCGGGGCTCTACGTCTGCTCGGCCAACAACAGCTATGGCACCGCGGCCTCGTCCCTGCGCCTGGACGTGGGAGGTGAGGGTGGCCCCGAGCCACGGCCACGGCGAGCGGGGCTCTGGTGGGAGCATGGCTTTTTTGGGAGCCTTTCAAGGAGTTGTGGGGATGGCGTTGTCCTGTGCAATCCCAGGGCACTCCCTGATTTCCCAGCCTCCCTCCTCCTCCTCAGGGGTCACAGTCGCAGTTGAGCCCTCGCCAGAAGTCCCCGAAGGCACCACAGCCATCATGACCTGCTCAGCCATCCCTTGGGTGGGCGAAGAGGCCAACTACACCTGGTACAAGAACAGCCGGTGGCTGCGGGACGGACCGGCCGGCTCCCTCATCCTCACCCGCGTCTCCAGCGCCGACACCGGCTCCTACCGCTGCCGGGCGAGCGGGACACGGGGCAGCGCCGCCTCGGCCCCGCTCAGCCTCAGCGTGCTCTGTGAGTGTCCCCTGGCCCCGCGGGGACAGGCCACCGGGCAGGACAGGGCGTGGGCAGTGCTGGGTCCATCCAGCCCAGCATCACACGTGTCCCATCTGCACCGTCCTGCTCCGGCGAGGAGGCCTTCCTCCTCTTCTTCCTCTTCTCTCTGCCATGCTCCTCTCGCTTTGGGACGGGGGAAGAAGACGTCGAGGTTTTGTCTGGCAGTGGTCCCTCAAAAGTCAGATTTGGAGTCAATGTGCTCGGAGCCGGGGGGACGCTCCAGTTGCGGAGGAGGAAGCGAAGGGCTGGGGAGGGTGTGAAGCCGCTGGCCCCAGGCTGGGTGGGCTGGAGCTGATCCAGACTGGAGGAGGGATGCGTTAAGCAGCCCTTGGCAAGCGTCCGGGCCAGCATGGGAGGGGGTCCCATGCCATGGCCCACTGCCAGCCCCGTCTCCCCCACACAGACCCCCCCCGGGACGTGTCCGTCAGCACCTTCCTGGAGAACCGCAGCGGGAGGGTGGGCATCGTGCTGTGCACGGCCGACAGCCATCCGGCTTCCACCATCGCCCTGTACCGCCGCGGCCGGCTCCTGGCCTCCAGCCTGGCCCTCGCCACCGCGCCGGGGGTCCGCGCCTCCCCCTCCCACAACGCCCTCCGCGTGGAGCTCGGGGCCGTGGGGCCGGAGGACGCGGGCGAGTACACCTGCGTGGCTGGCAACCCCCTGGGCAACGCCACGGCCGGTGCCTACTTTGACGTGCGCAGTGAGTGGGGCTGTGCCGGGGGCGGTGGGGCTCGGCGGGGAATTGTGCCAGAAAGAGGATTTCAGAGCCGTAGGGCTGACCGCCAGGAGCGGGGTGAATCAGCCGTGAGTCTTTAGGTGGGTGGGAAAAGAGGGAGGGTTTTATTGCAAGAATTGGGTATTTCCTTTCAAGGAGCTTTTCTCCACAAGCATCCCAGGCTGGTTTTTATGAAAGGGATAAAAAAGCCCACAGAAACAGAAAATGGGGTTGGATGCTGCAGAACGATCAAAAAAAGCGAGGAGGAATTGGCTTGGGTTTGACCACTGGCAGAAGGGGATGCTGCTGCTTGTCGCTGTGCCGGGTGACTCCCCTGCCCAGCCCCGGGTGCTGGCGGGGGACAGGACACCGTCCAGGCGGTGACGGTGATGGGTGACCTGGGCAGGGGCAGCCGGGAGCAGCGAGTGTCCTCGCGGGGTCCCAGCGTCGTGCCATGCCACCCTGTGACCCCCCAGGGCGCGTCCTCGACCCACCGACTGGCTGTCCCCCGCCCCGGGGACCTGGCAGCAGTGACAAGAGCTGTCCCCTGCCTGCAGCCAGCTGTCACAGCTACCTCCCTAGGGTCCCCTTCACCCTTCGCGGGGCAGCCGGGGGGGGGGGGGGCCCCCCATGTCCCCTGTCCCCATGCTGCGGCTGCAGCCATGGGGAAAGGGCCAGGGGGAGGCCACCCCCATCGCGGGGTCTCGCTGAGCCGGCAGCCCCGGTGCCAGCGGGGTCTGCCCCAGCTCCCCTCTGCCCACAGCTCTCACCCATCTCCTGGCGTTCACCATCCTGGCCGGGCTGCTCATGGCCGTGATCTGCGTGGCCGCCCTCGCCCTCCTGGCTGTGAAGCTGTGGCCCAGGTAACATCCCCAGCTGGGATGGGGAGGAGGGGACAGGGACCCCGGGCTGAGCTGGCCCATGGTGGCGACCGGGGGTGGCAGCTCCCTCTCCTCCCTTCCAGGATGAGGAAGTTTTGGGGCTGGTCCGCTGCCGAGGACACCTTCGAGCTGCGGAGCAAACAGGAGCAGGCGCAGGTGGGGACCTCGTCGGGGTCAGCTTTGAGGAGCCTGAGCTCGGGGGGTCCCCACGGGGGGGCCATGGGGTGTGCTGTGCTGGAGAGCATCTCCGTGCTGCGGGGGGATGCAGGGCCGGGCATCCCCGGAGGAGATGGCAGGCAGAGCCTCCCGAGGACCAGGGTTACCCCTTGCAGGCTCATCCGAGGGGCCTTCACAGCACACGCGGGTGCTGACCCCTCGGGGCGATGCTCTGGGTGCTCCCCTGGCCCAGCGGGCTCCACCGTGGGCAGGGTTTCCCCAGCCAGCCCCAACCTTTTCCAGGTGGATGGATCTTCCTAAGCCGGTGGCTTTTTGGCCCAGGAGCAACTGTAGCAGCTGGTGCTGGATGCGCACAGCCCTGGCCTGGCTGGATCCAGGCAGCCATCGCCCTGGGGACAACCCATCCCCGTCCCCCTGCCCCTCTCCTGCCCCTCCGTGCCCTCGTCCCTCCCCGCCATGGATGTTGTTCTCACGCCAGGCACGGTCTGTGCTCGCCATGGCGCGTGGTGCGCCGCGTGCGCCGGGCACCGGTGAGCTCTGACGGCTCAGAGCTGCTCTCCAGCAGCGAAACCCCAGGAAAAAAAAAAAAAATCTCCCAGTGGTGGTGCAAGCCTGGGGACAGCTTCTCCATCACCACCGTCCTCCTCTCCCCCCACCAAAGCCACCACCCCCGGGTGCTGCCCGCCGTGGTGTCTGGAAATAAAACCCGGAGCAACGCGCGGCCGGTGGCTGTTGGGATGAGCTGGGAAAGGGTTTATTGCCCTGCTTTGGGAAGGGTGGGGAGCTGGAGGGAGCTGGGCAGCCGTGGGGCTGGGCAGCGCTGGTTTGCCCGGGGATTCCCCGGTGCTGGCGTGTGATTCCTTCCCTGCTCCCGCCTCCGTGTTATGGCCCAAAGCCGGGCTGCGGCCCCTGCGGAGCAATGGCTCGGTCTGCGGACGGGGCTGCGGGGCAGGAGGGAGGTCGGGGACGTGATGCTCAGAGACACCCCGTTTTCCTGGCGTGTCTCGTCAGCCCCTTGGACAGGAGGGCAGAGGTGTCCCCAGGCCAGACGTGTCCCCTCCTGGCCCACTGCCATTAGATGTCACTCTGTGGCCGCCTTGGCGCCGGACAGGGCCTTGGCCACGGGCGTGCAGCCGGACGGCGCTTCGGAGCGTGGAGCTGGAGCTTCCCGAGCACGGCTCGGGGGCGATGCTCCCCTGTTACCCGCCTGGTTTGCAGCTCCCATTCATGCACCGAAGCAACGCGGTGCCGTTGCCGCGGGACAGACAGCTGGCACCCGCAGCCCAACGCCCCCCTGCTTTTGCCTGTGTCCCCCCAACCCTCCAGCTCCCTGCGCTCAAACGTACCGATCTACCAGCCACATTTCTAGCTAATTTCCCTCTTCCTCAGCTCCCCGGGTCGCACAGACCCTCATCCTCCTCGGGTGCGTCCTCCCGGGGCTGCGGCTCCCGGTGCCGTGGCCCGGTGCCCTGCGTGAGTGGGCAGGATGGTCCCATGGGTGCAGGGCTGGTGGGACAGCAGCATTCCAGGGAGTCTCACCAGCAGACGTGCAATATCCCCCTGTGCCTGTGCCCAGGGTGACAGCGGGGCCCCACTCGGGCTGTCCCCATCCCTGTCCCCATCCCCGTCCCTGTCCCCAGGCGGGGTGGCAGGGGCAGGAATGAGGCTGGGATGTGGGGACAGTGCAGGGCAGCGATGCCTCCCACCGGGCTCCCTGTCCCTCCAGGGGCTCCCAGCCCCTCAGAAATGCCCACAAAGCGGGGCGAGGCGGTGGAGGGGCTGGGAGAGGGGGGCTGAGCGGCGATGGGGACAGTTGGGGACCTTGCTGCCGCCCGCAGCTGGGGGAAGGTGGGTGAGGGCGGAGATGGTGCCAAGCCTGGGGAGCACAGTGACAGGACCAGGGGGGGAAAGGACACAAGCTGCAGAAATCAAAAGGCTGATTTGATATAAGGAAAAATAACCCTTCGCTGCGAGCATGGTTGATAGGGGAACTGGGGGCTGGGAAGGCTGTGCTGCCTCTGTCCCTGGGGCACCCAAAACCTGGCAGGACGGGGACCCGAGCAAGCGGTTTGCCCTTCAGCAGAGGGTGGCAGCCGAGACCTGGGGAGGTCCCCAGTCACACTACGACCCGGGCTGGTGATGGGGCTCGGGGTACAATGCCACAGCGCTCTCCTGCACTGGGAGGTGCCCAAATCCCCACGTCCAGGCAGCCAAAACCTCCCCAGAGCCGGGGCGACGGTGAGGGGCAGCGCCGACGGTGGGGGGAGCAGAACTGGGGGGCTCGGACCTGGCACCGGGCAGGAGTGACCCCGGCAGAGCTGCTCCTGCTCGCAGCACCGGGATGGGGAGCTGAGAGACTGGTGCTGGCTGGGGACTCAGTCACGGCTGAGGGGACGATGCTGGGGATCCAGTTGGTGACTGGGTCCCCTGGGTTCGCAGCAGACGCTTGGAAGCTTTTGGCACAAGCCTTCCAAAAGCAATTCCTGCCAGCAGGTACCTGCTCCACCGCAGGCGTGTAACACCAGTGCACCCCAGTCAGGGGCTCGTGCAGCCTGTTTTCTGCACTGGGAGATGGAGACACCAGTTTGGGGGGGTTAGACCCATCCAGCGACCCCCAGGTGCACTCCCCCAAGCACCCCGCAAGGCCCTGCGCGCTCCGAGCAAGGGGCTGGCTTTGCTCTGCGGGCTCAGCTTGTGTCTGTGCATGCTCTGGGGGTGGGGTGGGATGGGATGGGATGGGACGGGACGGGACGGGAGCGGCACTGAGCCCACGGGCAGCGGGCAGGGTGGCGGGCAGGGGGGCAGCAGGCATCCCCCTCCCCAGCCCATTGCAGCAGCCGCTGCCTCCTCGCTGAGATCCCTCCGAGCATCTGGCAGCAGCGAGGTTAAACCTCCGTCAGCTGCTAAACCGCAAGCCCAGACAGACGAGTTCGGACGGAGCTGGGGTGACCTGGGCAGGTCCATCCCTCCGGCTGGAAATCACCTTATCAAGGTACCTCCGTGGCAGAGCCCTCCAACTCCCCCGCTGATGAACCCACCTCCTCCTGCACCACCTGCGCCCACGCCGCTCGCCGCCTCCCAACCGAGCCCCCGGGCTTCGAGAAGGGTCCCCGGCCGCATCTATTCCCTCCCTCCCGCATCTCCCCAGCCTGAAGTTAATTAATTCTTGCCCAGACCCCCGCGGGCGGCCGGGCTGCTCCAGCTGGCCCCTCCTGCCCACCGTGCCCAGCCGCTTGCTGCGGGGGCCAGGGCAGATGTTGCAGGCTGGGGGGGCCCCCGCGGGCGCCCCCTCTGCTGCCCCGGTGAGCCGCCGCTGGCCGGCCGTGCCAGATGCGGGCTCTTCCCAGCAGCGCAACTGGTGCAGGCTGGTCCTGGGGGCGCGGAGAAGAGGGCGAGGGGAAGGTCCCACTGGTTGCAGGACCTGGATCCAAGCACAGGCACCGGCTGTGGGCAGGATGGGGCAGGCACCGGGCAGCACCGAGGGACTGCTTCTGTAACGCTAAAGCTCTGCAAACCGCCTGCCCTGGCCCGCACGGAGGGGCTGGGAGACGTGGGGAGCAGCAGGGCTTGGGAGAGGAGCGGGGTGCACGCTCGCCTTAATCCAGCCCCACGGCTGCAGGAACACCCAGCGCCGCGGGCAGGGAGCCAGCGATTACCTCCGGGCCCTCTGAGCTCCTTCTCCTCCTTTCCTTCTGGAGCGACACATGTTAAGCCAAATCCTTCCATCACATGGTTTAAAGGCAGAGCAAGGGAATAAGGGCAGGTCAGAAGGTGAACTGGAGGCCACGGATTTGCCATCGGGCAGAGGACCTAGCAGAAATGTGCTAGGCATTTCTCCTTGGATAAATTAGTGCGTGCTTTGATTTGCTGTTTGCAGTAATCCTGGGGACGGCTGAAATGCACCCGGCGCTGGCGGCGAGGGTGATCCGGGGGCACGCGTGGGGCTGGGCTCGCTGCCCTCACTCTGCGCTGGCAGAGCCGTCCCCAAGCGTAAGCCCGGCCGGCCTCCGCACGTCAGCGATGCTGATGGCTCTTGCGATGGGTATTGCTGGCCTGCCGGGCTCGAAGGCCCCGTTTGGTCGGGAAGCGAGCCCACCCGCTCCATGTGAGCCGTGGCGTGATGTCCCCGTGCAGATGTGGCCCTCAGCCCTGCCCTGCGCCCCGGTCCCTGCCGGCTCCGCGGCGGGGGCGGCTCTGAACAAGGCCAGCCCGGCGGGTCGGTGCCGGGAGCGCGGGCTGTGGGGTTGCCACCGCGCCGCCAAGGTGAGAGATGTGTGGCAACGCCGTGCCACCGCCTCGTGATGCCTCCCCACTTCCCGGGATTTACCCCCAAACCGTTGGCAGCCGAACGCCCCCACCCCGAGCGCGCAGCCCCCCCAGGGGTGCCCCTGGCCAGGGTCACCTCTCCTCCCTCTCAGCCCTGGTGCTTCTCACGTCCTCCCCCCCGAGGTTTAGTGCTCCCCGTAACATCTGCTAAGTGCATCCCGCTTCCTCCTGGCCATCGTCACTGATGTCTGTAGGTCACCGCTAGCCGTGGAGCCCCGCAGACCCTCTGCAGTCCCCTCAGCCCGCCCCAAACGCCCACGCACCGTGGGAGCCGGGAGGAAGGGCTGCGAGGGGCGGCTGGGTCCAGCCCCCCAGGAGCCCCCTCCCTTCTTCTCTGCCCGGGGTCTCGTCACCTCATAAACCCAGCGGGGTCTGGGGGTGTCTGTCCCACGGGGGCTGCAGGAGCACCCCCAGCCCCAGCGCTGCCTGCACGCCATCGGGACCCCGCGGCTCCTCCTGACAGCAGCTGAGGTTTATCAGGGTTCCTTGGGTCCCCCCTTGTCTGCCGGGATCGTCTGCTCAGCCGGGGCCGCTGTGGGAACCTGCACCCCGAAAACACCCCGGGGCTCCATGGACGCGGTGCAACAAGGCCCCCAACTGCATTAATTTGATGCTCATGAGCTGGAATTGCCCGTGTGCGGCGGTGAGGGGTGCCTGGGGGGCGAAATGTGGTTTGGAGCCGACTCCCCCCTCCTGGGAAGCAGCCGGCCCGGGGGGACACAGCCAGCGTCCTGGGGGGTCTGGGGAGCGAGCTTTCCAGCAGGGCAGGAGCCAGGGGAGCTGGAAAGGTCAAGGTTATCAAAACGTGGTAGCAGGTCCCCGCGGCTGCGATCACACCTTCCTCCACGCACCTGGTGGCACACGGCATGCCGTCAGCGCCCACACCTTGTCACCCGCGTGTCCCCGCAGCCCCGCGCGCCCTGGCTGGGTGCCTGCCTCGGGGCCGGGAGCAGCCGAAGGGCAGGGAGCGACGTGCAGGGCGGCACACGGACCAGAACCTGCAACAAAACGCTGAGCAGAATAACTGCGACCGCCCGTTGGAGCAGCCGAGCCCCGAGGTCTGTCCGTCCTCCTCCCCGCCACCCCTTTCGGTGCCACCCCAGCACCCGGCTGGCTCTTCACAGCTCGTGGCTCCGTGTCCCTCGTTGGTCCAGGCTCCGCTGCGGAGGTTTCCAGTGAAACCGGGGGTCTGCGGACACCCGTG